TAAGAAGCATTTAGCATCTAGTGTGCAAATCATCTTAGCCTGTCAAAGCTGTATACAAGGCTCAGTTGGTCATCTACTTTGTTGGCATAGCTATAATGTTCATATTGTCTTTACCCTTGGGATCGAATCAACCTTTAATAGAGGGTTGGTCAAAAGGAGTGATTTTTGCCTGCTGTGTCTTAAGGCATGTGCAGATGCGGAATTTTATTCCTATCAGGGACTAGCTCTAAGGACTTATTTAGTTGATTTCTTTTATTGTGAAGATTGGAGGAGGGTATTCTCTTGCATTTAGTTCTCACACTAAAGCAGAAAGCATCAGTTAATGTATCAGGAAGGAGGCTGATGAATAGAACATAGAAGCTGAATTGTATTGAATGAGAATAATTATATATAGTTCAATCAACATTATTTTGTGATGCGTGCATAATTACATAATCTGCAGTAGGCAGATTTCCATTATGATGAAGTAATAGTGTTCATGAGTAGCAGATCTCCTGTTTTTCTTCAATGACTGCATGATTGTGATTGATTAATAATGTTTTAGGTGATGATATGTACGCATATCATGATGGAATCTTTCATTATGTATCTGATACGGTGATACCTCATAGATCATAAGGCAGCCGTAATTTGTTCTGCATGATGCAGAAGAGCCTACACAGCAAAATGATATACACTTTTTAGTTAGTGTAACTTTGTTTGAGAGATCCAATGGTCACAAGCTGCTAACAAGAAACGCGTGGATGTCCTCAGTCCTGACCAACCATTTTATTCTTCTAAAATAGTACTGCCTAAGAACTGGCAATTTCTTTCATTGCATTCTTGAACTTCAAAATATACATTATTCTTGGGCTTCAAAGTGTATGTTATTGCATTAAATAGCATATTCTTATGATTTTTGGCAAATTTTTTTTCTCAAAGATAGCCGCAGGTCACATGCTTGTTATTTATTGGGTAACTGTTGAGTGGGATGTAGCAGTTGGCTTATTTTCAGTTTGGTTTAGTTATGGAGCTATTCTGATGCAGGTCAAAGGTGTGGAGCAAGAATTAGATACTGAGGCTGAGGATTCTGCATTAGCTGGTCAGATGGGAGTAGTTAAAGTTTAATCATCTCCTATTACCAAGTCTCACCGGTGGTAATCAGATATATAGTTGATGTCAAGGACTAATGGCAGCCGTCCTGTACAGGAGCAAAGTTTGTGGGGTTAACTCAGTTTATTCGTTGGTAGATCCTGTAATTTAGTTACAATAATTTGCATGGGAGATTTTTGGCTGTATAATAACTATAGGCTCTCATGGTCTGTTTACTTCCTGGGCTTGATGCAACTAAAAGTTTGGGTTGCCAATTTATCTTTTTAACAGTTTCTATTGATTGATTGATTGAATATTTAAAACAATTTTTAAATAATTTAAATAAGTATTATTTTTATTAAGTTTATTCAAATCTTCAATCATATTAAACTAAAAATAGAATAGAGGAGAATGTCATGATCACACATAAGAAAAAATTGATAAATTCATGACATATAGACTTTGCCATGTAACGAATCATGTACAAAAGTAACAGGGATGAAGCTTAAATTACATATTAATAGCTTATTTGGTCTAATTTTTTTTTAACTTAAAAGTTATTATTAATTTTTAAAATTAAATTGAAATTGTTTGATAAGTTTTTTTTTATAAATTATAATTTTGGTTAAAATTATCGTAAGGGATATATTTTTAGAGAATTATATTATAATTATTTTTAATAGATGAGAATATTTTTAAAATAAAAATAAAAATTTTTTTATATTTTTTTTTAAAAGAAAAAGCTCTTTATAGGAGATTTTTTTAAATTTTATTTTTTTAAAAAAATTATTTTTTTAAATTTTTTTTTAAAATTTATATTTGATTTGATTTTTTTTAAAAAAAATAAATAAATTAAAAAAAAATCAAATCCAAACAACCATTAAGATAAGAGTTATGGCTGTAGGACCAAGCCAAGAAAGCATGAAAGTTGCTGGTCTTATCCTCTACTTGCTTGTCATGTTCCGTGACGAGGTAAGTAATGAACCAAGCCTTGAAACATTTAATGTTCTTTTGGACGGGGCCTTTTTTTGTCTTTTTCTCAAATGGCAGGCTCTGTTCTCGAGGTAGTAGCATGTATCCAAAGGGTTTATAGATGGATGGCATAATATCCATAAATTTTTTTAATTATTTAAAAATTTTAAATTAAATTTTAAATTAAATAAATTTTTATAATTAATAATTAATTTTTTTAAAATATTATTTATATTTTATATTATGTAACATTAACATAATATATTGATATATTATAATTGATGATGATATATTACTATTAATAATAACATAATATATAAATTTAATATAATAATATTATTATGTAATATTTTTTACTTTTCAAGTTAACGTTGTGTAATTATAAAATAATAAATTATATTTTGATTAATGATAATTAATTAATTATCAATTATAAAAATTTATTTAATTTAAAATAAAAATAAAAAAACTTAATTTAATATAATAAAAAATAAAAAAATTTTAAAATAATATAAAAATTTATTTGAATATTATGTTAAAGATAAGAAGATTTAAGTTTGTATTTTCAAAAAGAAATAAATAGCAGTTAAAAAGTACGAGATAACAGTTAATCTAGGAGTGAGAATGGCATTGAAGCAACCAAGTGAGAATGTCATCACACGGGCAGTCCGTAGGACATGCATGGCCTAAATCCGAGTCACCGACTCCACGGAGTACTGACTGACCCCAAAGCATGAAACTTGCTCAGGACCCTACCCCCAAAACACACGACCAACGAAAGCCAAAGCGTGCAGGTCTACACTTACACTGACTCGCCCCCTTTTTTTCTCTCTCATGTGCTCTTACGTAAAACCCAAACACCAAAATCAAACTAAAGTTGATCCAGTTTCAGTGACTGCATTCCCCGAGAACAGTACTGGGAGTGAGAATGAGTTGGAAGTGTGGTGGGTTTACGGAGCTGAGGCCTTTGCTGCACTTGTTGCTGCCTCTTTGTTTTCATTGGATTGCTGAGGAGATGACGGTTTCTGTTCTTGTTGATGTTGTCACTGCTGCTTTATGTCCTTCCCAATCTACTTGCTCTGAAGCTATTTACATCAACGGCATTCAACAAACGGTTGGTTAAGTACTTTTGCTGCACTGCAACAATCCTTTTCCTCTTTCTTCTTCTTTTCCTTTGTTTTGGACTTCCTCTTTCTGTATTTACTCGGCATGTCAGCATGAAGGAAACTTGGTTTAGAGGTGTTTTCGTCAATTTTGTGGTTCAGATTACTCCATTTTCTTTCTTAATTTTTCAAAATTGATTTCTTCTCCTTTGTCCTCCCTAATCAGCTGCTACTGCCGCAGCTGTTGAATTTCTTCTTGTGTTATTTTTCATGCCTTTCTTTGATTATAATATTGGATTATGGACTGTCCAGCATAGTTACTTCCTTTTAGACAGCCAACCAAACTAACAGAGAAATAGAGCATTAAGCCATTAGACTAACAGGCAGCAGCAAATAGAAAAGAATTGCTAAATTTTATGTCCACACAAATAGAAAAGTGGACATATTGAGTACCATTGAGG